AATGTCCTGCGGGAGAGTTACAATTCCGAGACTGGAACCGGACGCCTGTACCTGCAAAACAAACGGATGCTCCGGATGATTGGAGATCCGCCTCCGACGGTCAAGTTAGTACTTGATTAAGGAGTAATTAATGCGGAAATTAAAGTGATTGGGTCTCTCTAGGTGAGAGTGTTTAATGTGTGTAATCTGCGTCCTCTCCCTTAATGAGGATTAAGGGAGGTATTTATAACCTCGGGAAACGTACCAATCTAGGTTTAGGTTAACCTTGGGCTGATTGGGCTTCCCTCGGAAGTTGGGCCTAGGTGACCGGCTTCTCCATTAGGCATGGAGTATGCCACATGTCATGACATAATAAGTCCAGGGTGGACGAATAAGCGTGTGCCACGTGGCAAGCCCTGAGAGGTTCAACTGGGGGACACTTGGCAGGACCTGATTGGCCCACGTGGCGCATTTCGATTGGTGGGAGCGAAATCCCCTAATCAGTATGGATTATTTTTGTTTGATTGAATGATTGAAATGAAGGTGGTTGTCATATATATATTTTTGTTAGTATTTTTGGATTCGAATTTTTTTTTTTTTCTTTTACAGGTGATCAATTATTCAGGGTGGCTCACAAGGACGGAAATCCTGGATCCGCCACTGATTATACTTAGACGATATATAAATATTTTTTTAAAATTACATCATGGAGTATCATTATATATGCACCATTTACTTTAGGGATCGATCTTCCAAAATTTTAACTTGGAACATCACTATAAAACCTAGCTACATACTTGCAATAGATTTTTTTTTTTCTTTTCTACGTACTCTATATGATTGCCACGAATTGATGAGAGGACATAACCTTATAGTAATAAATTATGATCATGTTATTAGACAGTATGTTTATGTATCACACATTATTCACACAAACTCCCAAAAACTTTGAAAACAATGTCAAATAAAAGCATGCATGCATGGGCATGGACCCCCTATCCGTTCTAAATTTCTTGCTTGCTGCATCTCAGTTGTCAAATCTGTCTTTTTAGTTAACCTTGCTTTAATTAGCATAAGCACATGTTTTGTTGAAAATCTCCAACAAACTTTGAATTAGCTAGGGTTTAATTTATGCATGCATGTTAATTATATTTAATTTTGTTACTCACTATAAAATGACATATATAGTGATGTTAGTTAGGTAATCATGCATATATATGGAGGATCTTAATGCTAAACGTCAACTATATCTGTTGTGAGTTTATTGCTTCATTAGTTGGTCAGCCAAAATTGGGTTAATTTTTTCGATTCAAACTTGCTCCTTACTCAATTAATCTTAGGTCATGACCCGACCCAATAATAACGAACTTACATGTGTGTACATTAAACAATCGATAAACATGACTTTTTCATAGTAACTAGCATAGATACTAATTTGCAAATACAAGGAGGACCAATGTCAGAATACTAGTCCTCAAAAAAATAAACATGATACCCCATTAGATTAGATATGATAAAACTATGTGATGATGAGCTTGGATCCCAAAAAAAAAAAGTAAATGTTGTGATTACAAATAAATTAAAATTGAGTAATTGGAGCACCCCCTCGTGAAGTGTAACATGGTCCCCTCTCTATAAAAATGAAACAAAACAGACATTCGGCCAATAATAATACAAGTAACTAAAATTAAATCTGGCCTGGGGTTTCCCTCCAAATAGTTACGTACGTTAACCAACTGGAACCCTGATGAATCTGATCTGTTTGCAAACTTGTGACTCAACAAATGTTCTTCCTCTTCATTGGATATTTTATATTTCAGATTACTGCTACTACTAACCTTTTTTCTTTTTTTGTTTTAAGTTTTAACTCTTCCAAATTAATTACAGTACTTGTATATGTTACTCCAGATGCTGCCAATTGCTTATTGCATTTGATGTTCACAGGTGGCCTCTTAATTTAGACAGCTACCACGTGTCAGTTTTAGACTTTGCTCTTCTAAACAAGGGCCACTTTCTAGCTTACTTAGCTAATACGGAGTAGTAATACTACTTGTTGTTTGGTAAACGGTCATATATTATAGGAGTATTGCATATACGAAGTTAAAAGTTTTGTTCCAATCACATAATTTTGATAAGTTATGTACTCGCAATATCATATCAGATCAAGTTGTTAGAGGTATATCAATATATCACGAGCCTATTTTGGAAGATTTTTTTTAAAAAACACACACTTAATCACATAATTGAAATTCAAGTCATCCTTCCATACCTTATATGAGTTCCATTTTCCTTGTATTGTAAGGGCCTTAAGTTTGGGAATTGGTCAATTGGGTTAACTTACTTAGGGTAAGAATTTTTTATCGACCAAAAAAATCTCCCAACCTAAGTCAATCCCAACTTGTCTATTCTATTTTGTGTAAACCTGATTTAGGTATGTTTGTATTTTAGCAGTATTATATTATAAAGGATAGATTGAAGCTTTCAAATTTTAAAATAGTTTTGCAACTTTAATCCTCTTTTGGTCAAACAAGTATCAATGAATAGAATGAAAGTTAACTAATAGATTTTGGTGTGATTACTACTGTCAACTGCCAAAGGTAGGTTTATCGTTTAAGTCAGATAGATTTAAAGTACATAATTTTTACATTAGTCTATCTATGGTACCATCACAATCATTAGAGGTTTCCTAAGCTAGGTATAATATTGAGAATTCTCCTTGTAATCTCTTCTATGATTTGCCTTACAATTAACACTGCCCATGCTAATTGTCACTTACTTATAACAATTGGTATCAAGAGGCCACGGCAAATCGGCAAGGGTTACGTTGATACACAATTTTTCACAACTGAAAAGTGAAACAAAGAGCTTAAAGTTAGCATATAATTCAAAATGTAGGATAACCTTTGTGCATATTTTTCTTCATGCGTTCTCAACCGTTGATTTAAAAAATAGACTATTTCGTAATTTTTTTCTTACATCTCAAATTTAAAGATAGATTTCTTATTTGTTTTTGTTGTACTACCTCCGATCCGTTATATATTGTTGCAACGATTTGACTAAAGTAGATAGGAAAAATGTCGTCGCAAATAATATAAAACGGAGGTACTTAGGGTCTGTTCTCATACGTTTATTTTCAGTTCAGTTCAGCTCAGCTTCTAATTTCCTTCTCTTATAAAATATTCATTTCACTCCAATTTAATTCAGTGAATGAGAACAAGCCCTTAATAAATATCTTTTACAAGCTAAGTAATGCATGAGCATAATACCCTAATTTTTTTTATAAAAAAAATAAATAAAAATGGGTGTGATTAATTTTGACAACAAAGCAAAAAAAAGTAAATGGCAGAAACGAGTCCCTAGTCCCAAGAGAGGTGACAAAATCAGAGAGAAGTGAAAAAATTGGCACCTTTTTCCTTAAATTGGGTTTTGGAATCAGAAATTACAGGGATTCCCAATCTCAAATACTCCTCCACTGCGTTCTTGCTTTTATGGTAAATCCCACATGCTATCTACCTGCTTCTTAGGAGCTCATCACTTAATTCTTTCTGCTACCATTTCTGCTTGCATTTACTCTCTAATTTTCTTTAAGTTCAACTAAATTTGATCTTATCTCCCAACTCACTTCACTACTACTCACTCAAAACTCCCTGCTTGCCGACATAACCCTAATTTTCTATCTCTATTAATCTATTATCGTGCATATATAATTATATTTCTAATATACTAGTAGTATAAAGTTATAAACCAGCATTAGTTTCATTATCGATACCAAAAACCAATGATGACATACAACTTTATACAAGTAACACAATGTACAACTATACTACTGAGTATATTACATTCATTTAATGTTATGTATATTTTTTGTAATAATACATGATCAATTGCTAGTTGTTTTTCAATTTGCAATAATTTACTAAGAACAAAGGAAGTTTCCAATATGTTACTTGCATTTTTCATGATTATTGCAAGTATAATAAGATATACTCCGTAACTCAACAATTATACTACGGAGTTTTTTATTTTTTTTTTAAACTACAATTATACTACGGAGTTTTATTTTGTATTAAATCAAGTAAGTAGGTCAAGCAAACCAATTGATAAATATCTACTTGGATCATCATTTTTATATCAAAATAATTTGGAATTGAATACCAATATTAATTTATGTAAACTTCTCTGTATATGGTATTCTAAACTGGCCTCATCACATGCCTTAGCTAAATGGTTTCTGAAAGCTATCCTACCCGAAAACTGGAAATGGAAGAGTAAAAAATCAATTACTTGCCTTCATAAATGCACGCATTCTCACACTTCTCAGATCTTTTACCAATAATTAATTCCTTTAATCCAACCAACCACCACCTGAACTTGAGCAATAATACAAGTTACTGCTTAAAATTATAACTGTCCATTGCCTAGATACGTAGTATACTCACATCAGTCACATACATGAGATACATCACACATGTAACCAAGGTGGCAAGGTAGCTTGGTAAAGCATCATAACTCCTACCAAAATTGTCTCATCTCCAACCCTGCTCAGTGCTCACCTTGCCGGATTTGGCCTATTTAGGCACTTAACTTGACTAGGTTGACCTGTGAAGGATTTCAATGCAAGTATATTCAATATATATGTACATTAATCTCAAATTTTACGTACCAACTCCCTCCATCAATTTACAAACTTTCCACTTCTCACTTTGGCCACATTAGCTACGTAGCTAAATAAGGTAGACACATAGAGCGTTCCAGTACATACAATGAATATACTACGTACTTTCACATTCATCACAAATTTAACACATCGACTCTATCCATTTACAAACTTTCCAACTTTCTGCTATGCCAATTTAACTAACACGTGAAAGATTACGGTATATATAATGGATAATACTTGCACAAAATTCACACATCGACTCCATCCATTTTACCAACTTTCCACAATCCACATTGTCATCACTCATTCAACAAGGACATTACAACCGCAAGTAAAAATAACAGAATTTAATCACACCAAATATAAAATCCACATTCCGAAAATGTGATGTTAGATTATTTACCACCAAATGTTTTCTTTCTACCTCCCATATGGATAAATAAAAACAAACAGGATAATCTGTAATTACCATTTTTCTTGGTGAATAACAAATTAAAAACATCACTACCCTATAAATCAAACAAAGATTTTTATACATAATAATAACAATAATAATAACAATAACAATAACGAAACTAAACCGAACCCGTTTCCGGCGCGACCGCGGGTTCGGAACTTGACCCTTCACCATCCCTATTACCGGTGCTAAGCCGAGACAGAATCTCTCTCATCGCACGAATCTGCATCTCAAGCGCCGGTATATAATCCGTCGCTTCTTCTAGAATCACCGGAAGTGGCTCTTTCTGGCAACCGGGAACCAACCTACCAAGAGTCTTCACCTTCCTTTGAACATCCGGTAACCGGTTACCTTTTCCCTTCAGCTTCAATATCTCTATCCTCGGCTTCCTCTGTGGCGGTGACCGGTTAACCCCGGTTCCCGTAACACGCTGCCGTTTGTGAAGCTTCTTGTGTAGGAAGCTAAGCCGAAATCGGCTCTTCAATATGGCTCGGCTCCAACGCGTTCGCCCACGCGCCGCCACTGCTAAGGCTTTGTCGGCGGCTTCTCGAACAATCCGGCTTGGTCGTGGCGTAGCCGCCGAAGACGGTGTTGATGACGCTGACGATGACGTTGACGGTGAGATTCGAACTTGACGGAGAGCTTGAAGAAGCTTAGTTGAGTATATTTGTTGAGTTTTTTCGGATTTCCAGGAAAATGTTTGAATGTCGCCATTGTTAGGGTTTGTAGAAGAGAGAGATTGTGAAGATGATTGTTGTTGAGAAATTTTCATCTTCTTTTTCCGACGCCTTGATTCTCTTGCTCTGTTTGAGCTGCTTGCGACGGGATTTGCTACTACTGATGGTGATGATTCCATTATTATTTTTTTTGGAGAACTTTTTCTCTCTCTTCGATCAACCAATAGAAATTCGAGGATGTTGCGGATGATCAAAAGTTTTTTCTGACGGTTAATTCAGCTTTGATGATCAAATCTGCAGAAAATAAAAAAGAGAGAGAATAACAGAGATGATTAGATTCACAAAAGGCTTATCTCAGGGATATTCTTTTAGGTGAGATTCTACTGATTTCTCTAGAATCAAATTTCTCGATTAAAAAAAAAAAATTATGATAAATTAAACGCCTGATAAAACGAAATTTACAGACAAATTCAGCTTAAAACGTTAAAGATGATGAACAAGTTGAAATAATCGTCGAAAATCATCAAAAATTCCAGAAAACAGGGCATATAATGAAATTTTTTCTACGAAAAGATATCGATAAAATGTGATTTTAACGAAAATTTGTCAACTGAAAGCGAAAATCACTCACGTATTCTGAAAATCGTCACAGAATAATCACAAATTATCATTTAAAAAAAAAAGGAAAAAAATCAATCGTCAAAAACTATTGTTAAACTGATGAAAAATCATCCAAAATTCGAAAATCATAGCAACAATAACTACTGCAAAATTTTAAAAAATTAAGAAATGAAGAGAATGAAATTACCTTAATGTTGATGAAGGAGGAGAGAGAGAGAAAATGGCGAACAAAAAATAAAACGACAAGTGAACAACCGTTTAGGAGTATGAAGAGGAGGAGAGAGAAAGTGAAGTTAGAGAGAGAGAGAGACAGAAAGAGAGAATTGCATGTGCGGGAGAAAGGAGAAGGCTAATAAAAGCGAAAGAGTGGGGGAAGAAGAAAAGGAAAAGGAGATAAATAAATTAAAATGTGGTGGAGTTGGAAAAGCACGCGTCGTTTCTTCTATTTCACAATCAAGCTTTACTGTTTTCGGTGTCGTTTTGATTTTTTTTTTTAATTTTTTTTTCTCTATTTCTTGATTTTATAACACAGGAACCTATAAAGCTCTGTTCTCATTAACTGAACTTAGGTGAACTGAACTGAACTAATTAAAGCTGAGCTGAACTGAATTGAATTGAAATGAATATTATATAAGAGAAGGAAATTAGAAGGCTAGACTGAACTGAACTTATTAAAGCTGAACTGAACTAAACTAAAAATAATCATATTTTCCTAAAAAAAAAATAATCATATGAGAACAAACCCATAGTTCAATGTGATGTTATTTATGAATACCCTAATAAAAAATACTTTTAATTTAATGGAAAAATGTACTTAATTTGATGTTTTCTCCTAATATCATTTTGAATTATTCAAGTAATTAAGTTCACATAATTTCAAGCAAGTCAAAATTGAATATAGGTTGATTGGAATGAAAGCTATAATATGAGTTATCTGCAAAATACTCGGTAACTCGTTTCCAAATTTAAGGGCTCGTTTGGTTAAATGTAGGAATTGCAAATTTTTTGGAAAACTGATTTCCCATGAAATTGAACTTTCTAGGAAATTTTAAAAAGTGTTTGGTTAACTAAGGGAAGTGGAAATTCCCATGGGAATTTCTACTTCCCATGAATTTGTCAACTAAACAACTTCAAAAAATTTCAATTCTTAGGATTTCCAACTTCCCATGTTTTTATTTGTCAACCAAACAACCCCTAAAATTGACATCGTTCTTCCACCATATCAACCCCTCACATAAAACAAACAATTTAACCAAATATGGAACATAGAACAGTGGACGTATGATTTAGCGAGAGTCACTAGTGAGTAGTGACCCTTTAAACACACACATGACACACCCCATTAACAAACTAACAACACTATCATCTCATCCTTTTCCCCACCCCTTTCACGTGGCCACATCATCACCACCCCGACAACGCAAGCCCCGTCACACACACTCCCCTTTTCACCTCACCGTTGCCAGTTGCCTGCCCCCGTTACATCATTGCTTTCCCTAGCCATAACCATCCCTTACTCTGTGGCAAGCACCAAGACGGACCATATGCGCATGCATACGCATTCCGTGGGGTTGGGCTGTTTGTTTTGCGTCGGTCACTAACACGTAATACCATAACTTTTTTTTACAATGTCATTTAATGGGACACGATTAATTATTGGGAACAAACTAACTTATAAATGAGAGGGAGTAGATTCAAGCGTTCCTGAGTTCTCCTTCCGATTTCAAGTGATAATGGGATCAATTCTCATCATCCGCCCTTATTGCTCTCTAAACACCAAAACAAATTTGGCCAATAAGGGCTATGTAATAGGAAGTATGAGGGAGAGACTTAGATGATTAAGTTTGTATTGCATCCTTAAGTACTATTCCACCATTGACATTTGACACAAATCACACGATTGTTCAGCCAAAGTACAAATATTCGTATTTATTTAATCGTATATTAAGGTTAAGATCGTTAATAAAAATTACAAGAAGATAGAATGTATGTCGCATATATCATCTTGTTGGCTTTGTTCTAGAAAACTTGTTGCTTACAGAAGCAAAACTATCCTCATTAAGCAAAATTCTATATTACTAATATCTTGGTGGATCTTTGGTGAAACCCATCAATTAAACAGTGTTACTAATTAAAATTCAATAATTTAATTATCTTCTTAACTTGGAAGGCATGTCTTGTTAAAATGACCAGATTAGAGAAAAGTTTGAAATGATGATGACAAGTGCTAAACCACCTTTATTTCATCTTCATTATCTTCAAACAAATCATAAATAATTGCTAATGCTAATTATAATCTTCAAATCAGGGGGCTATTGTGCATAAATACTCTTCATATGTGTGTGTATTTGATAAGAAAGGAAATTGATGCTATATTTCGTGTCAGTAGCTGGTTCGCATGGTAACCATTTGGAAAAGACTCCTACATGTCACAGACTCACAGTTCACCTAAATAAAAGGACTCCTATGGTAATACGGAATACCATCTACTCTAGTAAATGGGAGATGAAAACAAGTTGTTTGGATTGTAATGATTTGATTGAAAATAGAATTAATGTATCCTAAAAATTTTGTTTTTACTATATGCCATTGTTTAATTTATAAGGAAATCCAAAATATTCTTCAATTGAATAAAAAAAGTATACTTCTCAAATAGGTTTCAAACTTTCAATTACATAAAGTCATAAAAAAAATAAATAAAAAAAAAAAAAAACTTCCCACAATTTCGTACTTTGAGTATTATTATGGTTTAAGGGTCTGTTCTCAATGACTGAACTCAGCTGAACTGAATTGAAATAAATATTTTATAAGAGAAGGAAATTAGGAGTTGAACTGAACTGAATTGAATTAAGCTGAACTGAACTGAACTAAACTGAGCTGAACTGAACTGAATTTCAACGTAAAAGAACAGACCCTAAGTTGCATATGTTTACCAAATTACCATACAAGTTAGATTGTGTAATCTTAATTTTCTTACACACCATTATCTAGTATGTGAACCCTAACCATAAATGATTTCATTGAGCCACCCCCTGTGAAGAATTAAGTCATAAATCTTAATCACAAAAGTCAAGCCTTCAATAATATCCTAGTTTTTAAAATGAAATATTCATTCATCAATATAGTCATCCGACATCTATAAAGAACATCAAATTAAATTAACCCAAGTTCCTACAAAGTACTTGTATAGTTGTATCTAACAAAGATAAAATTTATGCTTTTTTAATTTTACAATTAATTTTTAACACTTTTAAATATCCATAATTATTCTTTTCTCTTATAACATATGAGTAAAAAAAAAATTTTCAAGGGAATCCGATAACGATCACTCTATTAAAATTTAAAAACAAAATTAGTCACAATTGATGAAGTTTATCTTAACGTTTAACTAAGCAAATCACCAATCATAATTAACACACAAATGCGGTCCAAACATTCTATTCAAAATTCAATTTCAATGTCGTATCTTTAAGTCTCATGCAATGATTGTTGAGGTTTTTACAGTGGAGAAAAGGAATGATAAAACAAAAGGTTTTTCCATGTGACTTGTTTCCCTAGAAAAAACTTTTTCTTTAAAGATGTGCTCCAAATAATAACATTGTTTACATAATCACTAGCTAGGTATTATTCTCTTTTTTAAGTGGTGGTTTGTTCTAATTGTATGCACCACATCAAAGATTAGTTTTTTGTGGACTTAATTAATAATTGAATCAACACTCTGGAAAGTTTAATTATCTACATAAATCACGCCAGCTGCTCCTTCACTTATTGTTAAGTATTTAGGTTTTATTAATGGAAGGGCAGGCTAGTTGTTAGAACAATTTCATTTTTTGGGGAGAAAACAAGCACTATCTTAAAAATTAGATGATGTATTACAATATTATTGAATTTTCAAGAATTATTCAACACTTTTAATTATATACCACGATTATTATGTTTTCAAAAAAAAATATACTACGATTATTACAGGGTATGCTATTATACTATTTTAATAACTGGTGAAATTTTTAACTAACTCAATTTCAATTTATTCTTAACACATTCTAAAGATAGTACATTCATAAAAATTCATATTAATCTTACCATCAATGTTACAGGAGTTGAAATAGCTACCAACTAATTAACTCTCAACAATTCAATCAACGTCAACTCTTGTATATTACAAACTTCGCTTGATCACCAATTTTTTTTTTTTTTTTTTTTTTTTATATATCAACGTATAAGGAAAAATATACTTGAATATAGCCTTACATAGCATAATATGTATATATCTTGTCAATACACAACTTTAATCATAGATACTTTTAATCATCTAATTGTAAAAAGTAACAAAATTTACTTGGTATGAGAACAATTAGTTTAATAACTTATTATTATTAAAGATGGTAAATTATTGTGGTTGCATAGTGTGTGGGGAGGGGGGAGCAAAATTGTAGGCGCTTTACTGTTGAAACAAGTATCTATGGTCACCAAAATCAACAATTAAGCAGTACTGTAAATAATGCAGGAGATTAATTATACTCTTCTGTGCAGTTCAATGGTCTAACACAGTTAAATATAAGTACAAATCAATTTCTAAAATTTATTCAATGATATTTTATTGTAAAACACCGCCTTTAAGGTATATAATAATTACTGTATTTTTTTTGTCATCATTTTTCCTTCAGGTTATAAAACTGTGAAAAATTATTAGTACTTCGTATTTTTTTTTAAAGTGAACATGTAAATAGGTGGTAAGTGGGTGGCTTGGTGTATTATGGTTTTTGGTAGATGGCGGAACTTATGATGCGTAATAGAGTAGAGTATAGCACCAATACAATTTGGCATATAGCCACTACTACTAGTAGCCGTAAGTAGACAATTTGGAGCTCGATGCATGAGCCAAGTCGCAGCCATATATAACTCCAAGGGGTAATGGACAAATACATTTGACAACTTCCAACAGAGATACTTTTTAATTGATTAATTAATACTGGCAAGAATGATGATTAGGCTACAAATAGGAGATTGCAAACTTTATCTTAATCATGAACCTAATCCATAAATTTAGTATCATAAGATCAGTGGATGCCAGTACACCAGGAGATTAAAGCATGACAATTTATTAAACTTACAATTAAATAAAATTAAATCAAAGTAAAAAAAAAAACAAACAAACAAACATAACCTTATACTCCGTATGCAACTAAGTTACCTACTTTCGTAAGGTCAAATATGTAATATTTTTTATATTCTCTTATTAATTATACACAGAATTCGAATGAATCGTCTTATTACTCTAATATTCTCTCAATGCTTATTAGTTCGATAAGTAATTAACTATTCTCTCATTAGTCATTACTTAATAACTCAATGACCCAACACCAAGATAAAAGATTACATATCCTATATAAAGACTACAACACCCTTAAAATTGTAACTAGAGTATATGGTCTAGTAATGGATAAATATGTAAATTTATACAAGTACCATGTTAGATTTTTTTTATTCTTTCAAATTTTAAATAAAAAACCTGACCAAAGAGAAATGAGAGATATTATGATTTATGAGGTTGGCAAAAATGATTGCCCCCCTTGTATGAGACACCTTTGGAGCACAATCACCAACGAAAATGAATGAAAAAGATTTGTGTGAACCATAAACCATCACCAACAAAAGGCATGGGATGCAGTCATAGCTGCATCAGTTATTGATAGCTAAACAGCCTTTACACCTTATGATTTTGCACCGTAACCAAAACATTAGAATAGTAACCCCTGCTTTTTACAGTTAAACGTAACTGCAGTATACGTATAAAGTTCTTACTTCTATATTCAGAATAATTTTGAGGTTATTGAGATCACATATTGGCTAAGTTCAACTCTGTATTATTGCAGTATTGAATAAGTTTTTTTTTTTTTTTTTGAAACATTGCAGTATTGAATAAGTAAGTCAAGGACTCAAGGCTTAAGAGTAAAAAATAACCTGTTTTCAAAAAAAAAAAAAAAAAAAAAGAGTAAAAAAATAACCCGGTACACAGATATTACTCTGTAGTGTAGAAAAACAAATTGTTACCATACAATGCTCCTTATAGTGGTATGGAACTATGGATGATAAAAATTATTTTGGAGAAAAAAAATAAATTGATATTTGAAGATATTAAGATTATCAACCACAACCATAGTTAATGACAGTAACAATCTCTATATAAATCACGAATAGATTTAATACATTTACTATTTTTGATTACCATCTATATCTGCTTTTTAATTATCTACCTTAATCCGGTAAAAAAGGGACAAGTATTATTAAAACTTGATTAAGCCACTGTTAAGCATTCAAGTGCTATTCATAATTATATGATTTTTTACTAGATCTAAACCAACAATTAATTGGATCATAAATCTTGGCTAATCTATACGTTGAAGAGAATTTCTCACGGCAAATTAAATTGCAGAGGCATCTATTATTGTCTTAAGCAATATATACTTTCTCATCGTAGACTTTAGGAAAAGACAATAGACTTAAACAAATAGTTTTCAAATCCAAGTATCATAGACTCATAGTGCATTAGAAAAATGATTGCTAAATAACATAATAATGTTTTTTCCATTAATTTTGAGGTGGGGGTTGCTCAGCCCTAGATGCTAAACAGAAACTGATGAAACGATATAAGAAAGATGCTTTCACAGGAGTAACAACAAATATAGTTTCAAATGAAAATGATTACGAATTTACGATAAACATCTACTTACAACAAATCATCTTGTAAAACACATCAAAAGTCATACTACTACTAGTACAAGGAAGTGGAAGGATGTAAACCTTCTATCTTAATAAACTAAAAGGTTGCACAATTAATCCTCGCCTAACAAATTCAGGTTGAAGCTAATAATTTCAGATAGAGTTTGCAGGTAGCTCCAAGAACACAAGAGGTATCTAAGACCAAAGGTCAAATCTCGTCTACTTTATTTACCTAGATAAAACTAATCCTAACTTGAACTAATTCCAAAAAAAACACACTACTACTTGTAGCTTAGTGAAGAAATGACATTTTCTCAGCTTATCTGTTGCATTTGAAGAAAGAAGCAACTTAACACAACTACCATAGACTAGTTGAAAGAAGCACAATAGTGTGTTAATGCTAATATAGAACTTCACACACTTGAATATTCCTATAATAGCACGAAGCCAAATCAGCTAATTATATAATCTTAGTAATTTGACTTTTAAATCCTGTTTAGATTTGTTAATATATGCTAATTATGATTACACACAGTGAAAAGGTCTACCAGCCTACCACAGAGTAAAACTTGAGCATCAAGGTTTGTACAATGAAATTCAACAATAGCTTTTGACTAAGGAGCTTAATCATGTTAGCTCCACTATAATAGTATGTATTACTGTACCTAACATTGCTGCTAATTAATCAGCATATAATCTGCATCATATTTAGAGCTAGTGACATCACATTGAGTGTCATATTTTCTCTATGTAGTTGATTATGTTATGGAAACAAAGAGGAGTAATTTGACTATTTGAGGAATGAAGTAACAACCTATGAGCCATAGTTCAACATAGATTAAGAAACTGCATCAGCTCGTAAGAGCCAGTGTAAAAGAAGAATTACCTCTAGACAAGATGACAACTTCGACGATCTTGTGTAAAAGGTGGTATTGCAGATTTAGTTACACTAATCCTCCAGGTAAATTTGCAGAGAAAGCACAGCTTGTTCATCTAACACTTCAAAAGCGAATGTGAAGCAAACCTGTCCCAACTCATTGTTCAAAAAAGTGGACCAAAAGTTGAATTTACTCCAGGATCTGCATCATATGACTTATAGTCAGTACTTAGTAGGCATTATTTTCATATTTGATACAACTTACAACTACAGCCTACCATGTATTTTGCACTAATTTTTGGTATCAAATTGCAATATCATTTTACCAGATGATCATCCATTGAACTACTTAAATCTTACGAAGTATGCTTTAGAACTCTGTTTTATTAGAATCATATTTATTAAAAGAAATTAATCAAACAACTATCACAATAACCAGCTTATTGTTCACCATTACAGTTCAACTTTTTGGTTATTCACAATAAACTTTTGTCAGGAGTAGATACACGATAGAAAAGGATAATATATGTTCACAAAGGGAGTATTCCCCTAGTTTGAGTTGGTACTAACTAGGTATCTTACACAAGGATTAAAATGGGAAACAGAAGATTAAATTGCTCAAAATATGAGGGGGGGGGGGGCCTTATATAAATGAACCAATAAGTTAAAATTAAGAAAAATCAAACATCCATTTCAAATGATGAAACATAATTTAGATCATCTTTTAATAACTTAGGCGATAGCACTATGCATACTAGTGACCAGGTTGAAAGACTACTAATGTACTCCGTATATAGTTTAAATCTCAGTGATAATGCACTTCGGCACATAATTGCTCCAGCATACAGTAACAGATATAGCTTCATCAGGTTTATCATGTTTCCCAAATGGGGAAACTGTATGATTTGGTATTAATGTTGACAGATAAGACCATGCCACATAGCTCAAGACATGCTCATGAGAATCTCGGTGGATTACCTTATATTTAGAAACATCACAATCACCTTGTACATTTACCCAGCTCATGTAAATCACATAGTAAAAGGCAAAAGCATCCTCATCCTATACACCATCTATAATTAATCTGATATTCGGATGACAGTTGGAATATCGGCACCATAGTGGTAATATTGACTACCAATAAAGATTCATGTCAAACTAATGTTTTGCTTGTTTTCAGATTTTCCAAACTTCAGCTACATGTGCAAGAGTCAATACATAAATAGTCATCTAAGGTTTCAAAACCTCATGGATTTGACACTGAAATAGCATCTGTTGCCACAAAAGGCAGCAGAAAAGAGTGTAAGAGCAGTAATTACCAGAGCTAGGTGTACTGTGTTTTCTATGTGTGGCATTCACTAAGTAGAAATCTAGAATGTGATTTGATGAATAGATTAAGAGACTCCAACATTGATTACAGACAGGTACACAGACAGAGCATAATTTTCCAGCACTTCATGTGTAAGCCTCAGCACTAACTTTTGGGTTAATTTCTAACACAAATGGACCAGACATGTTCTTATATATACTGTTTAGGAAGCTCGTAAACAATGATGTCTCAAGAGACTGCTCCTGATTAACTAAAACAAAGGTTGTTGTGGACCAGATATGTTTATGAAAGTACCATTAGTGTTAAAAGTTAGACTTACAAGAATTTAGCAAGATTTACAGAGTTCAATATAGGAGGATTTTGATCGATTAGTCCACTGATCAAGTGACAGATATAAGCTTTAGATAACACATACATTTAGCTTATTCGTCCCTGACATTAAACATGTGTAGCAAATCTAGCAATCTTTAGCATAACTACATATATTTAGCTGGGTGGAATGTGGTTTCTCGAACATTTAGGGAAGTATTAAAATATACCATCCATTTAGCCTTTAGGTTGGGGATAACTGACTTCAAAAAAAATTGTACAGCAGTCATTTGCAATTGGACCATCAAAGAATAAGTCATTGATTAACAATACAGTGATACAGAAGCTCTTATAATGTGCAAGACGCATACATCTGCTTCATGTAGAGCATATGGTACAATGGTTGCCACTTTAGCCTTAAGTTCCACTTTTCAAACAGGTATGATTTTACAGCAAAAATAACTTTCAAATCATATCTTGATGAATAGCTTAACGACATTGAACAGTTCACATAATGCATCATCTAAATGCAAGCAACAAATATATGGTTACGCGGTTTCAAAATTGAGTTAATAACCAGCTTGCCACTAATTAACAAGCACCATAATAGTATATACTAAATAATATGTACTTCCATAACTCTTGCCTTGTAGCATATACTTCCAAACCTTACTATAACAACAATAATATACGACTGAAACATGTACCAGTATAAAATAAAGCACATATCACTAAAATTTAGAGTTACCTGCTCAGGTAGGTTGAGGATTGAAAGAAGAGGAGCTTCGAGTTCCGGAACAGCGAAAAAAAGAACATAATAGCCACAGAGATCAACCAAACCATAAAACAAACCGCAACAATTCCAACTCGTTTAGATAGAACTGCACCAATTATGTCTCCTTCGTCAGGCAAAACACTCAAGTCTCTCACAGAGGCCTCAACCAATGCATCCAGAAGCTTCTTTGATGTATCGGAAACATCACTGGAGCTGGAAACTTGACTTCTAGCTTGCTTCAGAAGATTCACAACCAAATCCACCTCGACGGAACTGTTTGATCCAACTACATTGCTGCAATCAATTGAGGAATTGACTGATTCATCGTAAACTGTTGAGATCTTCGAAACTGGTGTAAATGCTTCCTCTGATGTAATGATTGACTGATTTTCTGCTCCAATTGAACTCAGAAGGCTCTGTGAAGCGAAAAACACGAAAACAAAACGAAATTTTTCAGCGATTTTGCCGATTATTTAATCGATAATTTTCGTCGGAATTTTGAAAAGTTGAGAAACGAATTTTACCTCAGATTCTCCAATTAAATTCTCTTCGCACAAATTTTCAGAAATGACCGATAAATTGAGTGGTTCCTGCACTGATTCAGCCGAAAAATCTTCGGAAACTGAAGCGAATTCAGCATTCAAGCTCTTCTTTGTAATCTAATCGATTTTTCCAGAAAATGAAATCAAAATGATGAACATGCAGAAGGAAAAAATAAAAATTAGGGTTAGAAATTGTTACTTTTTGATGCTTCTTTGATTGATCGGAGATTGATTTGGAATAAGGAGATTCTTTCGGCCGGCGGTGGATGATGTCCTTGCTCCGAGGAGTTTGATTTTCCTTCATTTTTTTTCTCTACTTCAATGGCGGGAGAATTTGAATTAAATTTGTTAATTTGTTTGGGAAAATAGATGATCAGTTGATCTAAGTGTTTATATAAGTGGACTGAAGAAATAGTTGACGTCTGATTTGCTGGTGTATGGTAAATCTGATACACGGAGTCGAGCTTAGGAGTATTGGGCTTGGGTTTGGATTGGGTTGGGTTTTGAGTTAAAGACAATAAAGCCCAAATAAAAAGAAGTCCACTTACCATTCAGTAACTCACCACTGCAAAAACTGTGAAGTGCATAACCATGAATCATTGAATCCATGAGTAGTTTGGAGAAATTTGCAAGTACTTATAGAATCCATTTTTGGTTTATGAAATAGTGCAAACGAATATACTGTATACAAGTAGGACAAGACAATTTGTTAGTTGTTTCTTGTTAAATTTATCAAAAACCAACATGACTAGATTTTTGCTCAAACTTAAGTCAAGTAAAATCTTATAGGCATCTTGTAGTCTTGTTAATAATAGATTCAATCTCTTATCTCAATAAGCACTGATAAGTTTTTGTACATTATTCTAAACTAAGAATTTTGGTCTACATATTATGAAATTCAATGCTATTGGGTTGCTTATACAACCTATTAGAGCATCTTCAATGGTAATTTTGTAACTTACCTAGATACATTAAATTTTTAAGCTAGAGTATTTTGTAGCTACAAACTGCTTTAATAGTGAACAATTGCATATTGTAAGGGAAATATCAATCAATCAAAACCTTAATCCCATAAGTGGGGTCAGTTACATGAACTAAATTTGATTATTCCAAGTAATCATCGACAAAGATCCTCCTCCTCCATCCCTTACGATCCAAAATTTTTCCTTATGTAAATCCATATACTTTATAACTCCTTCCAACCAAGTCATTTTCGGTCTCCCGTTAGTAGGTTTTAGCTTTGTCAGTGGGTTTCCCGCTGTCAGTCCCAAACCTGGATAAAGGATGAGGTTTTCGGTAGGCTAGTGACAACCGGTGTAAAACTTTGTCACATCCCATAACATACGTCAAGCTTGGAATGAATGAAGTTTTATTTTATAAACCAAAGCAGGGTTACTTAATCAAGCTACATCAATGTTTTCCCTCCAGTTGTAAGCTACACGCTTTCAATTTTATTTAATTTGCATGTCTTTTGTGTACTAATTGAGATTCTCTTAGTCGGTTCAAAAATAAATGTCTTAGCTAGTTTGAATGTGAGGAAATATTTGCTTTTGCTTGCGATTCTGAGTAGACTAGTTAGAAAGTAAGAAAATAAGCATTGCATTATCTAATACGAAGTACTAACTACACTACTCCGTACACTCGATATGAATGCGCTATTAGGTGAAGTGTCCATGTATCTTAGCAGCAAAAAAAAAAAAATACATATTGATTTATTTAACGGTTAACCTATAAGATAAATTGCCAAATTGGCAATTAAGGCTATTGGGCATTAGCATTCAAATGCATAACGAATTTCAAAATTCAAACCCCCTAAAAAAACCACAACATGGAGTAATTTTTATTTCACTCTCTTAACCTCTAGGGCTCGTTTGGCGTTTGAAATATCAACTCCAGTAATCGAGTAGCAAACAAATTTGGAATTTGCCGCCAAATCTCTCTTCAACTCTTCCCCGTCTCTCTCCTCTTTCTCTCTCATCTCTCCCGTCTCCTGAGTCCTGAGCGTAACAATGGCGAGTGGATCAGGGTTTTCCATGGAAGAATTCGAGTCATTAATGGCGACATCAGATGTTGAGCTTTTAAAGAGAGCTTGGCGCAACGAGAAATCTGCTCCCGAAATTCTTCAATTCCAGTCTTCTTTGGTTCTCAGATCTCGCGAGCAAATTCAACTTATGGTATACAATTATCTCTTCATTACAAACCCTAATTTTCACTTTATAATTATATTATCAATTCAATTTTTAGAGTTAGTGTAAAATTTCTCCTATTTGTGAAATTTCTTTGTTTAAATCACTGAAAATATTGGTAGCTTAGATTTGACGGTTTTAGCTGAGAAATTATGGTATAATCTATACTTTTTGCTCCAGTTTATGCTTTAAGCTGATTTATTGTATGTGAAGTGAAAGAGAGGCAGTTACTAGTGCAAAATTTATTTAGTATGTAACCAATCTGTTGAAGTGTCGATTATCCTGAAGTGTAGCTCTATGGGCCTATGGCATTGTTATTGTGAATTCTGAAATAGTTTGTATCATGTTTACGCAGTGTCGTAAACAACAGGGAAAATGATAAAAGTATAATGATTCATTTTCATTTGGTTTCTTCTCTTTTATAGGGTACACCAGTACACTATGATCTAAGTGTTATTAAAAACGGAGTGTTATCTTTCTTAGGTTAAGTAGCTAATTATACGATCTAATTCTAATGATATCTTATAATTACAGAGATCCAACTTTGTCTAGGGTACAGGAAGTAATGAAATTGCGGTCTGACTGTCAGTGAGATGAAATTTGTTTAGATATCAAAGGTTACGAATACTGTATGGCCTGAAACGAACAAATTCGTTGAAACGGTTTATTTTTGGCTTGATATTTTATATCCTACGAGTAGCTTATGATTTTTATGTGGTGTAAATCTTGGAGTTTACTTGTATATACTGTACTTACTCTATTCAAGTCTTTCATCCCTTGTGCTGTTACCTGACCTACCTCTCACAAATAATTCTATTGTGACTTATGAAATGTCAAGGAAAATTCAACCGTGGGATTTTTCCTTCCCTTTTTGTAATATGCTTTGTGCTCTAATTGCAACCTTCTACCTTGGTTACAATGGATGTTGTATTTTAATCTTCTATTTATGGTTGTTGATTAGTGGGCTGATGACCAATGCATCAAACTCACATCATAAAGATATGTGAGAAAATATGCACGAGCAGTTTAGCACCTAACGTGCTCTTAAATTTACCTGGTTTTTTAAATGCCCTATTTATCTGTTAATCATGTTCATAACATTTGGGAATATTCTAATTTTGGTCAAATGTTCAGGAGGAAACCATCGAGGAGTTTACAAAAAGTGGTTTCGATCCTCTGATAGTGTCTATATATCAAATGGATATGGATCGGGCTCAATATATGTTGAGATCATATCTTCGGACTCGTCTTCAAAAGGTTGCTTTGGGTTCTCCCTTTTTTTAAAAAAAAAACTTTATAGCAGATTATATTATTTGCAATTGATCCAACCAGCTTTAGCCTGTGAGTTATAGCATCTCCTTCTATTGTTCACTTAAAAACTGACAGCATTTTGCAGATAGAGAAGAATATGATTCATATCTCAAAAACAGACCTTTGGAACCGACTTTCAAAAGAGGAACAAAACTTCGCCAAAAGGCAAGTGTGGCAACCCCTTTTTTCATTTAATGCCTGGAATTCTTTAGTTAGTTTTGTAAGGTTCATTTTGTGGCTACAGGTGCTATGAAAATATGAAGAGTTATCTTGATGAGTCAGTTCTGTCAAAACTGCCAACTGGATACCAGTCTGATCTTAAGCAATCCAATGCTAGTGAAGAAAATGACATGGGTAGCTTCTTATACTCATCCTATGGTTATTTCCAAGCTTTCATGCATGCTTGTTTACATGTTAAGTGCAGGGTTTTTTATTTTGTTTGTTTTCCCTTATTTATTTATTTATTTATTTATTTTTTCCGTATGATGATGGCAAACCTTGTTTGGATGCCATTTTCCCCCCTAGATAAAAGAAAGGAAGAAAGGAACTTCAACTCTTTTGTGACATTTAATTTTTAAAAAATCCCTCTGATGCAAATATACACGTCTTACACTATGTTTGGATAAAGAGATATAGAGGGAAAGGAAGAGAAGAGAAAAGTAGAGATGCATTATCCTTTGTGTTGGATATCTAATGCAAGGAGGGAAGGGGAGGGAATTGGAAGGATCTATTTTCCTTCCCCTTATAATAAACCAAATCTCTCCAATGTTGGAGAGATATGGAAGGAAAATGGAAGGTTACTTCTCCCTCCCCTCCCTTTCCCTTCCCTCTTTTCTTTCTCTTTCCTTTCCCTTCACTATTCCTATCCAAACATAGTGTTAGTGCAGAAAAATAGCTTATGTGATCAGAATCCATCCTTTTGTTCTTCCTCTTTTCCTTAAAGTCTAATTGATTGATTAAAGTAGAAGAAACTTGAACCTGTCAATATAATTGCATTAATGATTTCGTTGGTGTAGATGATATGCTGTGAATTTATCTATCTTTACCCTTAAAAACTGTAGCACTTGAATTTTCCATGCATCTGCATGTGTCTTATGCCTCATAGCTTTATCTTAAGGACACTATTTTAAAGACGGTATTTTTTCAGAGTATGTGTGTGTGAGTTGTTTGTGTGGGTGTGGGGGCGGGGGCGGGGATTGAAGGATTTGATAGTGTAACTAGAGTTTTGAGTTGACTATCTTATAGTAAGTGAAGTGAATAAGAGTAACGATACAGAAATCCATTAAGCTGAAAGTTAATCATGCCTTTGAGTGATTCGGTTCTATATGTGACTCTTAAAGAGCGTTATGATTGTTGAATATGAATCTTCTCGAGGAAAATTTAAATAGATTCATTAGGAAATTGTTAGCCGACCCGACTTATGGGATTAAGGCTTTGATTGATTGATTGATTAGGACATTGTTGTTATCCTTGTATTAAAGGACTAGAAACATGCATTTGTTAGACAAGAAGCAAAGTGCTCTAATAGTATCCATTTTGAGAACATAGATTACCAAATTAACTGATTGGGTAAGTCACCAACCCCTAAAATTGTAGGGATCCTAATGGTGGAGTTTGAGAACATTGAAATAAAACATATTCCCTAAGAGATCTTAGCCTAGATTCATAACTCTTACTTTATAGCGGATGCAAGGGATTGTATTTGTTGTGGATCAAAGTGTTTGGTAATGACTCTTTTAGTTTGATAACAAAAGTTGGCCTCTATTATGTAAGAGCATACTTTGTGGGGGTGGGGAATCTATTCTGAATACAAAGGCTAAATGATACATGATGGTTGATCCTGGCAATGTTTGCCTACTATTGGTGTGAGAATTTCAGGGATATTTGCTTTGGTTCATGGATAATCGTGCATCTAAGCCCTTTGGATAGCGCGTTTTTTATTTATTTATTTATTTTTATAAATTGAACTTGTTGTAACATTTTTTTTTAAGACTGATAAGGTGTGAGTAATATGATTTTGTTTGGGTATATTAGGGATTCCAAGTCTACCCCTTAAACCTGGAATGTTCTTCAACAACTTGCATATTTTGGTAAAAAGCTTTTTAAAGAGCTTTTAGCTTATTTTGTCCAATTAGATGTTTGACCAATTCAAAAAGCTAATTTGGGTGTTTGGTATATAGCTTATTAAAAGAGCTTTTTGGGCTAAAAAACGCTTTTAGAAAAAACTCATTATAAGAGCTTTTTAAAATTAGCTTATTGTACAATTAGCTTTTTGTTTCTTAAATACACTAAAACAGCTAACAATTAACGGCTATTTACCAAACATTTTTATACAATCAGCTAATCATAACCAGCTAGTCAAACCAGCTACTATAACAAGCTAGTCAAACCAGCTAATACAATCAGCTACCAACTAATTACCAAACAGGGCCTAAGTTTCATACTTTCATTAATATGAAAAGGGATGTTGGCAGGCTTTAAGTTTAATTTGAGCATGGGGTCTGAAGGCTAGGTGTCACGGTTCGGGAGTTTGGACCCCGAAACGTGCGGCGCACTCTAGCCTTTTGGCGGCAAGAACGCTAGCCTTGAGCGGAAGAGGGGCTTGCGAGCACAAAGCTACACAAGCGGGCAATTGAATCAAACAGCACTCACGTCTATTTGGGCGACGGAGTGCGGGTGGTCGGGGCTTGTGACGACCGATAATTCAAGGCGGGCACAAGCGGGTCCGAACCACGAGTTCTTAGTGCATCAAGTTGGTTTGGAGGGGAGCAATTATGCAAGTAAGACACAATATCTATAAAGGTCTAACAACAAACAAGCATAAGAGCAAAGCAACACTTGGTAGAAGGCTTAAGATTTCATTAATCATTCACTCTCTAAAGAGCTTTAAATGACATACAAGGAGAATCCACACTGATCTCACAGTAACACAATAATGGGACCTTAAGCTAAGAAAGCATAAACCAAACTCTAGGAAAGCACTTAAAGGGGATCTAATACATCAAAAGGAGTTGGATTCTAACACTAGGACTTCTGCCATATTTGTGATTCAGCTTGTTAGGTGGACATTCAGCTTTATCAAGCTCCAATATATGGCAGAATTACCAGAATTGGGAGCCATCAAGTCAAAAGATGTAATTTAGATCTTGCAGGTATTGCGGGAAAATTTTAAGAAGTTATCTTTCAAAGGGTTAGTGGCTGGAAGTAAATCCCTTAGGCTCTTTCATAGAAATCTTGAAGAGAATTAAACATAAGACTTAAAACTTTAAAGCTAAAGATTATAGCTCAAGTCTTTGTTTTGGTTTATCTGGGTGTATGTCCTCAATTTTTTTAAGGAACATGTTCATTTGTGTAAGGTTCAAGGATATACGTCATCTCTTGGCCTGTTAAGAAATTTGGGAGTCCAAACTACAGGGTCTCAACCCAATGCCATATCCATGTCATGGGGGTCTTAATCATTGAGATTTCAGTGGCCTTCTTTTTTTTTATTTTTTTTTTTTTTTATTTTTTATCTTGTGGTTCATATGTAAGGTTAAGCGCAGAAGTAGAACTAGGGAATTTTTGCTTCTCCTTAATCTGTGAGCTCCAACCATCATCTTCAACCAAAGACCGGTGAGATATATATGATTCAAAGAACTTTATTTATTAAAACATATTTAGATATTCAATACAAAGATAAGTTGTGGAAAGTTAACACCAAGGACTCCAGATTTGTGGTGCTAGATGCCAAGTTTGAGGAGCAATGGATTTGATTTTTGAGTGTCCTTAGAATAAAGGGTACATGTTGTTGGGAATTTCATCCCAAGTCCCACATGGAAAAAATAGCAAGGGAAGGAGCTATTTATAAAGTGGTGCTCAATACACTAGTACAAGGCCTTTTGGGAAGGAGCCCAAAAACAAAACCGTGCGGGCTTGTCCCAAAGCGGACAATATTGTACTAGTGTGTGCATGAGCAGGTTCCGGCGGCCTAACAAATGGTATCAGAGCCGGGCTAGTTCGGTCCGGGGCAGGTGGCTGCCGTGGAGTATGTGGGGGTGTTCCTCGTGTGTCCTCGAAGTTAGGTGATCTGTGCCCTTTGTGTCGAAAGTCCTCTTGATGGTGTTCAAGCTGGTGGGACCAAGGGATGTCCTGTAACCGGTGGGGTTGCCCTGTAACTCGTGGTTGGAGCGAGTGGGCATGGTCCGGTGGGCATGGTATGATGGTTTGCGGTGAGCCTGTAACCGGTGGGGTTGCCCTGTAACTTGTGGTTGGAGCAAGTGGGCATGGTCCAGTGGTTTGCGAGCCATGGTTAGCTAATGGTGTAATCAGGCGGCAGGTTCCGATAGTGCATCGGCGGTACTGAAAGGGGGTGAGTAACAGATCAAGTTTATCGATCGAGGGAAGGCCATGAGTGATGATGTGGTCCTTGGTCTGAGGGAAGGATTGTTGGGAATTTCATCCCAAGTCCCACATGGAAAAAATAACAAGGGAAGGAACTATTTATAAAGTGGTGCTCAATACACTAGTACAAGGCCTTTTGGGAAGGAGCCCAAAAAAAAAAACCGTGCGGGCTTGGCCCAAAGCGGACAATATTGTACTAGTGATTGCATGAGCATGTTCCGGCGGCCTAACACATGTATATAGCTGTGCATACTTTTCCCTCTGGTGAGATATATAGGGTAAATGTGAGTGTCCTTCCCTCTGCTTGGGCTAAGAAAAGAAAAAAGAAACTTTAGAGGAAGAGGGGAAAAACATACTTTTCTTTGGAAAATTGCTACTTCTCTTTTTCTCTCTCCCTCTCTAGAAAAGCCAAAGGGGCAATTTTCCTAATGTCTCCTATCTAGTCCTTTGGTGCTGCTGACATGAGCTATACTGTACCTTCATATTAAACATTGAATTCAATTGTTTCTGAATTTTGAAAATTTTAGTAGTAAACTTGCTTGATTTGCAAGAGAAGGGGGTTGTCTGACAGTTAAGCAGATATCAAGGATATGCGTGGTTTAGAGAGCAGGAGAAGAAATCAACAAACTGGTTTTAGTTTTATGTGAGCATATTACTTAATGTTTTTTAGTGCTGTAGTGGTGATGAATTGATTGTTTTTCTTGCTGGAATATTGGAAATTTGAATTATGGGGTAGAACGAATTCCATACTTTGGCTTCCAGTTGTCTAGCAAACATGAAAAATGGAATAGTTAATGGATGTCAAAACTCAATAGGATCTGTTACTTGCAAAGCAGTAATTCTGGAGAAGAAGATACGCCGGGCATATAGATGAAATTGACAAAAATACAGAGAAGATAAAGGGTATCCCTGCGTTGTATGTCAGTTAATCAGGGCAAGTTTTGCTTTGCTTGAAGAAGAAGGGTTCCACTGGGATCTTCAATTTATGAAGTACATCGGCAGTCAGAGAAAACATTTTAAAACTATGTTACTATAAAACTGATGTTCAATATCATAACAGAAGAGCATTCATGCTTCTGATCACAAGTGTGACACGTGTTCATGGAGTACCGCCCTCTCCGCTGTCTACAGTTCTCTCAATTCCTTTTGGGCCCTTGCTACTTGATCATCTGCACCCTCTTAGATCAGTTAAAGTTGAAGATGGTTTTCTTTTCCTCATTTTTTGAGGAAAGCTAGTAGCAAGACATGAGAAGGTGAAGAAGTTTCTTTATATTCTTGTTTATACTAGAAGTTCGGAGAATTACATTGAAGTTATGGCGATTGAGGCATCAAACAAGAATGAAAAATCTTGGGGCAGGATAACTGCTCTTATTGTTTTAGATTCCAAACCACAATATTAATGTTTTTAACAACTTTTTACTGCTCTACACATGCTGAAATACTACCTTCTCTTCACCAGTTCCGGAGCCAAATTTGGATACATTTGTGTTTTGCAAGAGTGATAGTTCTATTGGAGCCATTCCACTTGATGACAGGTAAGGATCTTGTTTTACTAACAAATGTAATGTCAAATATTCGTAATCTTGTCTATCAGTGCATGACAAGTCTGAATTTTGATGGTCTTACAGTGCGGATGAGATTGTGGACCTTGTTGCTGGTGATTTATATGTTCTTCGTTACAAGTCAATTAAGCCCTTTGTGGAGAATGGGCAGGTTGATCTTGTTTGAGGGATCTCTTTATCATTCCTGAACATTTACAACTTCAACCTCTTCTCCTGGGCCCTCAGTGAAACTGGAGGTCGTATTACAGCTAGCTTAATCTATAGAGAATATGAAAATGTAGCTTGTCTGAGCATCCTTGATCATTTCACTCAGCTGATGACTGATTGTGCTAATAGCGTTTTGCTAGCTTGGAATTTCTACATTATGGTCTGATATCAGGGAGAAAGAATACCTTGAATTGGGGACAAGTAGTTTGGGTCTGGTATATGTTCATTTTTATGAACATGTTTGAGGCTGGTTGTCCAGAATAGATTAAGGTTCCTCTGGCAAATGTTATGTAATGAGATGTTAAATGTATTATCGAAAATTTGAAACTACTCAATATTTAACTGTACTATTTGTTTGTTTTGAATTTTCCTTTAGTGGAAGTTCTCGCTCAATTCGTCAATTGCTTCATAGCTATTTGTTTGTCCAGTTTTTGTACTTCAGTTTTTCTTTTTCTTTTTTTAAATGCGCTAATTATACACTAAATACACTATTTGATAAGAATAGAAAACGTAAAGTAACAATCAAATTTGGATGGTGATGAGCTGATGACTTGATAAAAACTTTGTGGGTGAACTGTTGTGAAATTTGACAAGATCCCCGTCTAGAAAAATCGACATTGGATCACGGGCCTAAAAAGAAAAATCAAAAGTGCACGTGGCTTTTGCAGGACTCCCGAGCTTGCAATGTTTGCAATTAAATGTGGTCACAATTCTTTCACATATAACAATTGTATGTGTAGCCTTTACCTATACACAATAGTTTGGCCGACCAAATGAATTTCAGAATCACATAATGACTTTTATCTTTTTCCACCTATCACATTCATAATTTGCCTTAATGGTTGGAAAATAAAGCCTCAAATATATCTATCTCAGCCTCAAAATAAAAATTAAAATAAAAACTTTTTTACATTTGTATAATTTTCCTATTATTTTTTTACTTTTGTAACATCTCAATAGATTATTAAAAACTAATTATATTTTTTCCTCAACAAAAATCTATTTATATTTAAATGTATAATAAAAGATATCAATGGTTGAAATTATGTATAGAGACATGTTGAATATAAAATAATTACAAATTAAAACGAAGGAAGTATGTACCAATGGTCAAAAGGGGCAATGTCATTAGATTATTGAACGCAAGTTATTGGTTTTTTGGTTTTTGTTTTGGCACCTAACAAATTATAATCTAATTGCGGTCTTTGCGGTTTTTGGTTTGTCACATACGTTAATTTTTAGTTGCAATAAATGAATGTTTTATATCTCATAAAAAATAGGAAAAATTAGAAATAATAATCCCAACTTTCATCAATTTTGCTACAATAATCCCAACTTTGATTTATTTTGGAATAATCCGAACTTTGGGAGTTCCTCTTTTTTTTCAATCCCAAAAACCGGTTGAATGGGTTATTTTTTATTTTTATTTTTATAAAAGTGACACTTGTCACAACTGAATTGGCTAAAACAATTTATAAAAAATTAAAAAAAAAAAAAACCAATCAAACCCCAGCCACCAGCAACCCCAAAAACCACCGACCAACCCCAACAATCACTAGTCTAACCCTGAACGACGGCGCTAATTCCCCTCCCCCTTCCCCGGCGACGGTTTCCCACTCGCCGCTTTCCCCTTCCCCTCCCCCTGAGGCGGTTTCCCACTCTGCCATTTTTAGCACAAGGCCACCTCCGACCATTCCTCCACCTCGCTCACCGCCTTCTCTCCCAAACACCCTTCACTCTCTCCCCTTACCACCCCTTTAAACGCCGCAAATCTCCGCCGTCAATCCGACAACCTCAACATCATCGAACTCCCCTTCACCAGCACCGACCACGGTCTCCCTCCTAAACCCGAAAACCCCCAAAAACTCCTCCCTTGAATTTCCGATTTAGGGTATCGGTTGCTGCGAATTTGGGATTTTGGTGGCTGCGAAAACCACCACCACTCGAAACTCTTTTTCCACCCCTCCCTAACTCTCAAAAACCCCCCAAACACCCCTCCCCCACCATCGTAAATCCTAGCCGCTAGGGTTTTGAGGTGGGGGAAGGGCGGTTAGGGGTTTTTGGGAGTGAGGGAGGGGTTTACTTCGTGGTTGTTTAAGGGAATAGCAGGGGGTTTAGGGGAGGGGAGAAGTCGGCGCTGGAAAGAGGCGGCTGGCCGGCAATGCATAGGCGGCGGTCTGGGCACGGGCTGGTGGTGTTTAGATGGGTTGGTGGAGAAGGAGAGGCTAGCTGGTGTGTTTGCAATTTTTGAGTTTTTTTTTGTTTTTTATTTTTTAAAATTTTTTGGACCAATCAAGACTTGACATGTGTCAAGTTACCTGATATAATAGGTCATTGACTTCTGTTGACCGGTAAGGGATTGAAGAAAATTAACACCCCAAAAGTTCGGATTATTCTGGTATAAATCAAAGTTGGGATTATTGTAGCAAAATTGATGAAAGTTGGGATAATTATTTCTAATTTTTCCTAAAAAATAAAGACCTTCTTAACTGATATGTTTTAAAAAAAAAATAAGGATTCAAAAACAAATTGTTACATTGATAATTATAAAAATTCTAAAAATAAAAATTGATAGAGCATAGAGGTTGCAAAAGGCTATACTTTGTATTTCTTCATCACACGATATTGTCAAAAAATAGTATTAGAGTGATTTTTGCGCTTTAAATTTTTATTTATTCATTTGTTTATTTCAATACTCACCCTGGTTAGATGATATAATTCACCTATTTCTTATGTTTGTCACTATTTTGATAATATCTTATTAATTGTTTTCCTGTAAAGTAAAGGAGTTGCATTGCTCATTAGTAAGCTAGTTGCTAGTCGTTACATGTGGAAAAGTATGGTTTTCTAATTTTGTTTTTTTGTGTTGCTCAACGGTGATTTTATGACTAATGAAAGCTAAATGTCCGTAGGACTTTCCTCATACAACACAAATTGTGTAGTTACGGGGAAAAATAATACCAGTAACATCCAATTGGTCAGTTACCAATCTTACCATTATTTCACTCAAATAACTCTTATCATCATGCGTTATGCACACATCTATTGGTTCACTTTTCGCCTATTTTCATCACACGATGATGTTGTTGAAATAGAATGTATGAGTGTTTTTCTATCTTGTGCTAGCTGATACAAAACTCCTATATCTCGTTTAGAGATGTTTGCCATAGTGTATATCAATAGATTGCATAGAAATGGTAAAAGAGTTGCATTGCCCACAAGGTTAGGCCATTTGCGTGGGAGAGCATAGTTTACTAGTTTTAGTTTGGCTTTGACATTTAATTTTCTTTTGATTAATTGATGACTTTACAACTAATGAATGCTAGTTGCCCGTGGGAAAAATATTGAAACTACCACATCTTCCTTGGAAAGTGTGGCCACAAAATAATTCAACCACCAATTGCCCAATCACCCTACTTTGACTCACTAAACTTTGAGAACTCTTCAACTTCCACTAATTACATTACACTATCAATTTTTATTTGTATAATTTTAATTTATACGAGTATGTTTATTTTGAGAGATAAGCAAAAGAGTAAAAGAAATTTGTACTCAACAAACATGGAAACATAACTTAAATTCATTCATTTATCAATAATTAATTAATTACCATATCATAATCATATCAACAAGCAATTTTTCCTCACATTACTTCTCAAACCCAAAATTCAATCCCACATTAAGTGAAATTACTTACAAAAAATTTCACATACCTATTCAAATTTTTCTTTAAAAAAAAGCTTTAAAAAAAAAAAAACTTACTAATTAATTTTATAAAGATCCAAAAATGTTGACAAACCCATCAAAAGAAACACCATTAGTACCATCACCACCATGACCACAACCCATTTTAATCATAGCCTTAATCTCGTCATCACCAACCTCTAATCCAGCCAATTTCAAATAATCCTTCAAATCATTAACCCCTAATATTCCATCACCATCTTTATCCATTACTTTGAACATCTCTTCCATCACCCCGCCGTCACCGTAGCTTTTCTCCACCTTCTCTTTCTCTCTCCTCTCCTTCAAAATCTTCTCAAACTCGTCGTATTGTACGTACCCGTCTTTGTTTGCGTCGGCTACTGAAATCATTGCTTTAATCATTTCTTCGTCGTCGCCGCTGCCGGAGAATGAGGAGTAAAATGATCGGAGGTCTTTGCCGGAGATTTTACCGTCGTGGTCGAAGTCTAGGACGTCGAATGCTCGCCGGAATCCTGACGTGGGTTCGTCGGAAAAACTCGCCGGAGTTAGGGTAGTTCCGGTAGGACACATTGTTTTTGTGTTATAAATAGGGAGGGTTTTTCAAAAGTTAGTTTTTTTGCCAGAGAAAATTGAGAGGAGTGTAAGGACTAAGGAGTTTAGCGGTATTTATAGAGGTTTTTAGCCTCTCTCCTTGATTTAAGACTTTTTCTTTTTTTTTTAAAAAAAACATTATTTAAGAGTATTAAAACAATACTAGTACTTCATTTGTCCTTAGAATGATCACTTGATCCTCTAGTCTTTTAATTTGTCTCATTAGCAGACGTGTGAAAAAAAAAAAGAAAAAATTTAAAGGATATGATGAAGTAGAGTATCTCTTATGGTCTTATGGAGTATCAAAGTAGTGTAGTGGTCCGCCCGACCTTGTTTAATTACCTATTATTTTAAATAGTAATAATAAAAATTTTATGAAATGGACCTGGACAACTCATATAAAAAATAAAATTTAGTCCACTTACAAATCTAAAATTGTAGGAGTAACTTTTATGTTTTTCTACTATACAGAGTAAAATTTATCGTGTCTCTTTTTTTTAATGTACAATGGAATATCATAAATTAACCTTTCACATTACCTATTCATTGGTACAAAGGGATGATACAACGTACAAAACACTCCATATCATAACGTAATCACCATTATTGTCACTATTGTTGCTCCTAGTTTGTTTCCATTTTACTACCCCGTAATAATAATGCTTAATCAAAGCTTACCAAACATGCATGTATAATATTTTTTCATATTCCATATAACTTTGGCTTACTTTATACATTTAATCTAATTATTACAACATACGGAGTATCTTTTATATGATTTTATCATAAATTCTCTTATTAGTATCCCCATTAAAATTAAATTTTGTCAACTAAATTCATACTTTCCTAATAGTATGCATATATTTGACTCGAATGTTTTGAATACTTGGGAAACGGTTTTTCATTTAGAATTATAAGTGAGAAAACGTATGTCGTGATGTCATGTGATGAGTCGAGTCAAATTATGGACGAAAATGAATTTAGGCGTAGCCTTGAAACGTGTTGAATTGTTTGTCTTTACTAGTTTTTGGGAGTTGTACTTTGGCTGTTTCTAAAGATTGTTGTGGTTCATACTTCATTTTTTTTTAAAAAAAAAAAAGCGTGGAATGGCAGTCTTATATCGGAATTATTCGATTGTGCAACGGCACCAAAAAGTTGTGGAGCTGGAATTTTCAAATGAATTATGCTTATAATAATTGATTCCCCACCTTCTTTTCATTTTTGCTTCTTATGTCATTTGTGGTTAGATTTGTAAAGCAAGCAATTGTCCACATAGTTATTTTGACTTTTTTGTAACCCAACAAGAAACGTTTTGGAATACTTAAAATTAGAGGAATATGAATATGAAGACACTAACATGTTATTAGAAACGTTTTGATTGTCCAAAACTACTTGTCACTTTTTAATTACGAGTATATATAAGTCCTCTTATTGTAACTCATTGTATGTTTAGTAGTAATTACTTTATTGTATGTTTGAAGATTTTAATAATGCATAATTTGTCTGTGTTAACTTGTTGTAACATCTTAAAAGGTGATATGGTTGTTAACATATTAGTATATAACTTTGATCGCCAATGTCCCTAATCGTCCAATTTAGAGTATTTGAAAAGATGGTGATATTTAACAAAAAGATTCACTCCTCTCACCTCTCCTTTCTCTAAAAACCTTAGCCTCCATTGTTGAGTCTCGGAGGGGTTTTCATCGGTGGAAAGCTCCGATCTTTTTTTTTTTTTGGCGTGTGTGTCTTTTTACTTTATTTTTGTTTGTTTTAGGTTTAAAATAACTCTTTCTCTTCTTGGAGGAACGTTTCTCCCTCGAAAGAAATGGCTTTTCTTCTTCTTTAAGAGGATTTTACTCCTTCGAAAGAAAAGGTTTTGCTTTTTTGTTTGATAGATTGTTGTAGAATTGTTTCATGGCTATAGATTTGTATTAAAAAAAAAGGATGGTGATATTTTAACAAACAGCTAAACGGAAATAATGTGAGATAAGAAACTGGAACAGTTAACTAGTTCTTTAACTTTCATGCGTGTGTAAGGTATGGGGTCAGTTCTCACCAAACTCATTCTAGCTAAGAGGGATGTCAACTTTAAAACCAACATTTTAAACTCTCGTGATATGGGGTTTATAAATCAAGAGGAGGTAAGTGGCTCATACCATTCTTCAAAAATCAAACAAAAGAAAATAATTCATTTTTGAACAAAACCAAACACATAGTTTTAAGTATCAAGTTTCATCTACTTTGCTACTTATCGCCTATATCTCATTCCTAATTTCAAATTCATTCCATTATACTATCAAGTGCCCGCCAAAATTGATATAAAAATGTCATATAATGAATTTTTAATGATGGTTTTTCTATCCCACACAAAAGTGGAAAAACCACCAAATTTATCCGTGATTCTTAGGGTCTTTTCTCATCGACTGAAATGAGCTGAATTGAATTGAACTTATTATATCTGAACTGAACTGAACTGAATTGAAATGAATATTTTATGAGAGAAGGAATTATGAGCTGAACTGAACTGAAAATAATCTAATGAGAACAGGGCATTAATTTAGGTTCAACTGTAAGAGTCGAATTACCGAATTAGGTCAATTAACTTTTCTAAAAAAAAAACCTTCAAAATCACTGATCACTCCTTTAAGTTTTAAGGCTACACTCAAAGTTTGAGGCAACCCCAATCTAAGAGGCAAGTAGGCAACACAACACAATCCAGCTTGTTTTCAATCCATTGACTCATAAAAAATGAAATGGGCCTCATAAAACATTAGGTTGACATAACATGGGCTTGTATTATTTTAGCAAAACCCTAATTTTTTCAATATATATTCATCAACTCACAATCATCTTCCATATCGTCAACTTCTCCTGCTCTCTTTCTTCGCTTTTCTGGGTTTATTAATCTTCTTCACTCCAAAATTCATCTTCAAATCAATGTTGCCTCTTTCTGGAGGAACCCTAGTATCCAATTTTCATCGATACTTGGGAAATATCCCCAGTTTCTCTTCAATTATTGAAGAAATTAAAATGAAGGGGCAGAGATTTTCATAGCAGGAGTTGAGTCATTGTGCCTTAAATTTAATGAGGTCCAATGAATTATACCTTGCCATATTCTCTCTCCTTAAATTATTTATTTTCTTAAAAAATCTAATTTTAATATTTGGGGTTTTATTTATATAATTTTAGTTGGAGGGTCCAGTGATGGTAAATAATCTTTGAGACCTGAGATTTGTCTTTCCTTGATGACAAACTTTCAAGCATGTTTTCTGAGGATTCTCTTGATTTTTTTTTTAAAAAAAATTTTAAATAAATTTTTTAATTAATTTAAAAATTGAGAGGATGAATGTGCACTGGGCTCTGAAATTTCTGATGCATAATTGCAAGCCCTAGAAAAGCTTCTTCTGATCTTTTTCAATTCATTTTTATTGATTTTAATCCTAGATTGATATTCATCCGAGGGTTTATGGGTCCAAGGATGTTCTAAATACGAATCATCAGAGCTGAATTTTAATTTGATGAAATATATTTACAAACATTTAGCTGAGGATCCTAGAAATTAGAATTAATATTAATTTGTTGATTTAATAGTTATGAAATAATTAAAAGATAGTGATTTCTCGATGATGATTACAACAGATGACGAGTCTGATTAATCCATTCTTTTAAATCGTGAGGACAAAACGAGGCATTTGTCTGAGAGAAATCCCTTCTTTTAAGTTTATTTTCATTAAATTTAGTTAATAGCTTCAATTAATAAGCTGCAATGTGTAAATTGTTTGGACATGATGTCATGAAGGATTAACACAGTAATGAAGATTTATATGAGTGTTAATAAAAATGAGTTATAATCGGTAAATTTGACAACAAAAAGAAAAGTGAAGGATTTCTCGATGATGATTACAACAGATGACGAGTCTGATCAATCCATTCTTTAAATCGTGAGGACAAAACGAGGCATTTGTCTGAGAGAAATACCATTTATCACTAATTTATGTATAATTCTCACAAATAAATGAATATGGCTACAAGTTAACGTTTTGTATATGATAAAAATTGCACAACTTGGTAAATGATTTTATTATGCATTTCTAAATTTAAGAATGTATGGTAAAATTATGGGTTGATTGATGTAATTGATATGCAGTAATGTCAATGACATTGTTTGGGCATATTTAGCATGACTCAAAGTAGTGTCTTACTTCAAATAAGTCTAAGATTCTATTAAGGACTCATATGATTTTAAGTGATTATATTATTTTATTGATATAACCACTTATTGAACATAACAAGCTATTGCAAAAAGTATTTCTGTTATGACCAGCATTATGACCAACCATACAATAGGCGCCACTAGATTGCCAGACGACGCTAAGGGGATGCAAAGAGAGTCAAGGTTGCTTTTAGAGCTTCCTAAGACAAGAAGATAATACTACCTCCGTTTTTTTTTTATGTGCAACTTTTGCCATTTTAGTCCGTTCACTATTATGTGCAACTTTCCTTTTTCATTCTATTTTTGGTAAATAAAAACCCTGAAAATTACAAACTTACCCTTACTTAAAAATTCAGATTTTCTTAATGCTATCCTTATCTTATTTTAATCACAATAACTTTTTTATCTAATCTAAAATCATTAACCTAATTGTACCTTCTCCAAGACTACCTCCCCTCAGAAATTCATTCCCAATTTCTTCATCACCTCAGAAATCCCAATATCCCCCAAATCTGCCATTTTCTCTCTCCTCTCTTCACTTCTCCTTCAATGGCGTCATCGTCGGTGACCTCCATTTTCTCTCTCCTCCTGATCTCCACCATCCTCTCGGTCGTCTCAACCCGCCCCGGCCTCCTTTTCCACCCCTGCAACACCCTCATCGTTTCCACCTACTCCTCTTTCCTCCCTCAAAACCCTAACTCCGACCTCCCCAACAACCCCCATTTCATCGTCGTCTCCGCCGATCTCCGCCCTCTCCACCACCACCATTTCCGCCACCGTCGTTTCCTCCCTCTCATCGACAAAACCCAGAAACACGAATCCAAACCCGAACCCATCAATGAAAGACCCGAATTCTTGAACGAAAACTGGGTCTCTTGAACGACCCTTTTTCGAATGGTAACGCCTGCAAGTTTGTTCACGGCGCCGGCGATGGTAGGTTCTCGGATACCGGTGATGATTCCGGCCCAATTGTTGCTCCCTATGACCACCGGCTTTCTCTCTTTCATCTTTGATTTTGATTTTCAGGGTTTTGATTTTGATTTTGATTTTCAGGGTTTTGATTTTGATTTTCTGGGTTTCGATTTTCTGGGTTAGAGGTGGGTTTGGGTGGTGGGGTGGTCTGGG